GCGAGGGTGAGGGAAGGTGGTTTATTTTTGCCCTTTTTTTCTTCGCTATCCTATTCTACTTTTAATTGGCAACAAATTAATCTGGCCCAAGTCAAGTCTGTTTTGCCCATGACAGTAATTTCTAAGTGAGCTCTCTGTCTTTATCTCAACCCATGAACTTTTCCATGGGTTGGGAGGGGGGAGTGACAGAGCAGCTGGGTGGGTACCTGGCAGCCAGCCAACTCTAGACAACCCACCATTCAAAAAGGATTAATTTTTCATGTATTTTTTCATAATCACAAAAAAAAAAGAGCCAGAATTTAAAGCATGTCAATTATCTTTCTTTGTCCAACATCTATTCTTTATTTTGAAACGTAAAAAAATCTGACACTCAAATAATTTTAAAAAACCTATCTGCAGGGTGAAGCAAATTTTCTTACAAATTTAATTAAAAAGTATGACATTCAAAAGAATAAGTAATTTTAAAAGTAAAATTAATTTGCGTTACATTATATAACTTTTTATGGAGTTCAAGTTTTTCATGTAGTTGACTAAACACCTGATAAATATGCAGAGAACTCAAAGGAGATCATCTTTCAGCTAACACTGAAAAGATGAAATTAAATTAGAATTAAGATATGCTAGTATTCACCTAGAATGATTCATGACAAATATCATATAAAAGTACAGTTACTTTTCTGGAAGCCTCCACTATATCCCCAAGTCCAGATTATACAAAATGACAGGAATAAGTATCAGTGCTCCTGAAGCACATTTCCATTTCAGTTAGATCAAAGGTGATGAATACTAAGATTAGCATTTGTAGTCACCACAGATGAAATTAACATTTTTGCCTGTGCAAAAATATAGGCAAGCTGAAAGCTTTATACATTTTTACTTTAGAAGTAACTTTACTAAAATAATTTCCACACCAAGTATGCAGAGACTTACACTTTCAGGAAGAGAAGATTCATTTTATTATTTTTCTTGAAAATAATTCTAGCATTCACTAATTCTGCATTTTATTAAAAATATACTGTAAAAAATGAGCTACTGTTTTGATGCTCATGTCTCCTAATGAAATGTTCAGGCAGCTCTGGGACTAAACATAGTGAGCTAATCGCCTGCTGAGACCATCTTCAGGATTGTCTCCTCTACCCACAACACATCGAGATCACAGCAGATGCTCGCAAGGCTGATTAGAAGGGTTCACATGAACTCATGGTAGGCAGTCAATACTAATTTTTTAAACACTTCTCTAGCATTTGGAAGACCACGTTAACAATTGACTCTGCTAAGTAACAATGCAGAAACCCCCATATGCTCTACGCCAAGAAGAATGATACCCAATCCTGAAAAAATGACGCTGCATTAGTGACCCAGCAGAATAAAGCAGATGGAGCCTCTTCAAAGGAGAAAATGCTCTTTCCTCCTGAATGTGCTGCTCCACAATATTTTGGTTTTCAGGCTTATGCTCTGGCTTCCAACCATTTACCATGTTCTCTCTGATTCACAAAAAAATGTTAGATTAACTGCTGCTTGCTCCTTGATCATTTATGGATATAATACACAGCAGATGCTCCTCAAACTATTAGAAAAATCACACACCCCTGAAAATGTTGCCAGTACATCATACGTTTTCCTGAATCCCACATGAGATTTATTTCTAGATGTCACCATTTTTGTTGTTCTTTTGAATTTCAATTGATAAAAATGCAGTGACCACTAAGACAACTTCAAGGTGACACGGTTATCTAAATCAAGCCTCAGAGTATACTATTCACATGTACAGAGCACTCACTTTTACTCCTTTCCAATTGTAAAGACCTGAGATAATCTACTCATGATGCATACTAAAAGGATTTGCAAGTTTGGTTTTGTTCACATTTGAAAGAAGTAGTAGGATTGTTTCTATAACGTATTTAACCAACATGATAAATAGTATATGAAGCTTTTGAGGGAGCTGTAACACTTACAGAAGAAATCATTATGTTAGATTACTTTAATAGGTCTTGTTTTGATCTTGATTAACTCTCAACTTTTAAAGACTTTTTTTACAAGTCATTACAAGAACCTACTTTTCTTTCATTTTAAAACTAATGTCAAGAATATCTCAACTGAACATACTGAACATATTTTTTGCCTTAGGTAAAAATAAATTATTTTTTGCTGCCCTACATAAGCCTTCTAGATGCATACTTTCAAAAACAGAAATAGCTTTAATCAAAACAGAGGAACAATAGTTCTTGTTAATTCTTGCACGTGCAAATGAATCACAGCACCAAAAATCTTAGCAAGTGCCTGCCATGCAGAGATGTTGCATTCTGTTTCAGTTCCTTTCAGTTACTTAGCAAGAAATGTAATGCTCACAGCATTAGATCTAACATTGTGTCACAAGGAAGAGAGCGCTATAAATGTTCTGGACCCATAGCTTTGCTGAAAAAAGAATTTTTATGGATTTCTGGAAACAGTAAAGAAATCTAAAATAAAGTTTTAAAACCAGTGATTTAATTCTGCTGTAAAACCTAGCAATAGTCAACTACCTTTAAGAGATAATTCACAGATACATTTTTAAGCTATACCGGCATTTTTGAGAACTTTCTAGTTTTCTTTCACCCTTGATTCTGCACAAAGGAACGGAGGGAAACAGTTTTCCAAAGCTTTAAATAAAAAACCCCAACCCTCAGCCATTCTAGACAGGACAAAGAAGTGTCTTGTTAAGTTTGAAAAACGTCTGGAATACACGTAGTTGGACCTCACAAGTAAGCAGGCTTGATAATGGGGGCCAGGGGGTTGAGGTGGTGCAAATGATCTCTATTTTACCACCAAGAGTCAGGTAAAACATTAGACTGCTACAATCTCCTATGTGTTGGAAACAATGATAAACAAAAGGTTCACTCAAAGGTATCAAGACACAGAACTTCCTCTGACATCCCTTCTGACTAGGAGCCACCAAATGGCATCGAATAAAAAACAAACAAACAAACAAAAAAAGCTTATCTTGCCTTAAATCATTAATAAACTAATTTAGTTAGTTTAAACTAACTTGGGTTTTTACCCAAGGTAAGCACCTGAACAGTCCTGTGAACTTCTGAAGGATCACTTATAAGAGTATGCTCATAATACTCTGCTGAACTGGTGCCTACATTGATTAAAGTCCAGTGGTTGTATCACATTCCTGTTATATAATTTTCAGCAATTTGTAATTCAGCATTTAGGAGGAGTAGGGGAAATTACTTTATTTAGTTAAGACTAGTATTTGAAGCTTCATCTCACTAGTAAAACCAGAATAATATTCGAATTGCCAAATGATTGCCTATTAATAAGATTTAATGAAGGCATTATTTTCTGAATTTTCTCTTTGTTGGCTTTTAGCTAGAAGCTAATTTAAACAACTGAACTTAAATTTGTAGTCAAGATCTAGTTATTAGTTGCATGTTGAAAAGCTACTGACACGTATGATCAGAAATAAACACAAAATAGAAAGAACTACAGAGACAAAAGTGAATGACCTAAAAGTTTACATACAACAGAAGGTTATCTGTCATTGCTGGAAAGAATTTCCTTTTCTTTTTAAGCTTCCAAACTATGTTCACTATGAAGTTTTAGAGTCATAGGCATATAATGTAAGTATGAATTTCTTACTCTTGTAATTCTGGTAAAGTAATTTCAAGAACAGTGCGACATCAGTTTGGATCACACTTAGCAGACTGTCCTACTCAAAATGTTCATGCAGAAAGGTATACCATTTCTAAGTACTTTAATTGAAACCTGAAAAGTGCCTGCCTTTTAAATTTACAATTTCTTTCTTAGTATTTTTTCTGACTTATTCTAAAATTTCTCACTACAGTAGCCTTATTCTGCATATGAAAATAAAGACCTAGAGACAGAAAGACCTGAGGCAACTAAATGCTTTCAAAACTGGTGAAATTCCATCAGGGGTCGGACCTAAACCTCCAAAACTGAAAAACAGTCTTAAAGGCTAAAAGGAGTTATAGTAAAAGTTCAGTGCTACTTCCTATTCAACGTATTTCAATTTTAGTATTTTTAGAATATTCTACTTTCACCAAAGTCAAAGCTCATTTACACTTTAGCACATTCTGAAAGACTTCAGAAAACCTTGAAAGAAAGTATTTTAGAAAAAAAATCTAACCATTGAGAAGAAGCACGATTGCTAAAACACATAATTCTGGTTTATATGAAACTGTTTTAGAACCCTCGCTGTTAAAAGTGTCTCTTTCCTTTTGTTTAAAGCACCAGTTATAATAAACCAATCTGTTAAAGGTTATTCAAATTGTTCTCTCCTGTGCACCTTGAGGTAGTGGCTTTGCCCAATTTTCTCATTTTAAAAGGAAGATTCTGCTTTTAAAATTCTCAATATATTCCATTTTTCATCTGACCTATAATGTAACTATACATCATCTGTGTGCATTTACTTAACAATAAAATAGATTACATGATCACAAGGACAGAATACAGCAGGCTAAGAGGTATTCTGTTCAAAAGGAAACACCTAAGGTAATACCCCACTTATTCTTTCAGTCTCATTCTGGAGAGTCTCTTTGCCAAAAAATGAAGGACTTGTTGCTTTCTAAAAAAACCCATGAATTCCACTACTTAACACACAAGCAGTTTATCTTTCCTTATGTAGTAAAAAATATGCTTCACTGTTTGTATGCATATAAATCTGTTTAAATCCTGGCTACCTACTGCAGGAGTCGTAATTGCAATTGTACATTTCAATCAGACACAGTAAAGAGCACATTCTCATGAAATCTGTAGAAAACAAATAAGTGCTGCCATCCAGTTATAACAAAACTTTTCTCCAGTACAGAAATATACAAACACTCCATAAAATATGTCTAGAAGATTTACCCAAACCAAGCAAGAACAAAGATTCAGAAAACACTGCTTGCTTTTACTGATCTCCTCCAACACCCGAGCCATGAAGAATTATTCTCAACTGATACAAGTAGTTAAATTTGCTTTATACTGGTTTTAGATGCTATATATAAGGTTACCTGTCATTAATGATCCAGTTCAGACACAGATTGAGGGAATTAAGGTTTTTGCATCTCTTTACTATTTCCATCACGGTTTCATTGTCCAGTTCTGTGATATGACGTAGATCCAAGCTGGAAAGATTTCTTAGCTATAGAGACAAATATGATAAAAAGAATTAGTCTGAAATTTGTTCACACACATAACTGTTATAAAAGCTGTTAAACTTTTTGGAGTCATGTATAATAAGCGCAAGCTAGTCAAGAAAGATGAGATTACTATATTTTTTACAAAAAGGAAACATATCAGAGATATTAATAGTATCTAACTCCAGCAAATCTGGAATTCAGGCATTCAGTTACTCCACGAAATAAAGACACTCTCACTCATGGTCCAATACATCTACAATAGGGGCCTACGCCTTCCTCTTTTTAACTATATGGAGTGTAAGATACCAAGGTAGCATACCAACTCATTCAATTATAAGAAAAATAGGGTGTGGAAGGAAGGGGAGACAGCACATTTGTGCTTAGATTCAAAGGCATGTGATTAAAGAATCCAGAGTCTGAGGCTTTCCAACTAAGTAAATATTATGAACTCCCTGGAAAATACAGTATTTATACTGAAGTCTCACTTGCAGAGCCATCAATAATATCTTGGATATTCTGAACAATAAAAGTTGGAGTCACAGAACAATATGATTAAGATTTATGCAAGGATTAATCTGATTTATTAGTATGGTTAATCATTATAATGTCCTTCAAAAGCAAATAAAACCCTCTTACTACTTTTATGAGCTATGTATTCAAAGAAGAAATTTTTACAGATTTCTGTAGTATCCTTAAACAATGGATCAGTTTGGCTGTAATAACCTCCAAGTGCTGTTTGCTTCTTAAGCTGTCTGAAATAACCTGTTATACTCTGGAAAAATAATTACATTAGGTAATACTGACATTTTAATTAAATTTACCTTTCCCGTAAGAGAGAAAAAATAATCCTATTCAGTCATTTAAGTCACTAAGGATTTGATTAAGTAAAGGCATACAACTGAGATCATATAATCGGCCCACTTCAGTAGTTAATTATTAAGACAATGTATTTAAGGGGAAAAAAAAAAGAAAAAAAAAAGAAGTAAAAAAGATAAAAAGAAAAGGAAAAAAAAGAAGACATCAAATGTAGGTAGTATTCTACAGAAACCGGTGTTCTGGTGTTTTGTTCGAGAAGTTTTTAACATTCTTCAAACTAAAGCTGAAGATAAACCACATACTGCTTCCAAAAATTCTGCAGAACAAACATAAAATTAAGAAACGTGACCTCTGAGAAACAACTGCAGGGTATGTCTATAGGAAGTAGGAAAATAATGTTCCTATTATTAGGATACTACCACAGGTGTACTGTGGACGTGCTTGTTGTAATCCCATTCAACTTCTGATAATCTTATTTTCCTATTAGGCAGAAAAGCACATAATGATTGATATCATGTTGGTAAAATGGACAAATTTTACAAGCTCTGTCTCTCTGTATTTCATACATACTGCTCTAGCAGGAAGTTTAAAAGACTTACCTTCTGTGCATCCAAAAAAAGCTCACAACCAATTCCTCATTTTTTCTGCATAAACTACATGGAGAAGGGGAAGCTTAGGGCAACTTGAATTTTCCTTACCTTCATACAGCTATTCCAATTAGATACTTCAGCCTTTATACTATGTTGGCAATAACATGGCCAATGCCTATGACACAGGAAGTAAACCTACTGGACAATTCAACAATGCCTATGTTCCATGACAGCAAAAAAAATATTTACTAGGACACCTCTAAGACAAATAGAAAATATTCCCATTAAAAAAAAAAACAGAATTCTTAACGAAAACATGCTTTCTTTCACGACAACATCTTATTACGCGCAGGTGATAATATTGGTGATTCTTTTGTCATTATAATTACTTACAGAGTAAAAACGGTGAACTTACACTAAAGATAATTCAATGCATGGAGATCAGTGCTTCTTTATGAAGTGTCTAACTAACATGCCTTCAAATTAGGTAAGAGCTAACAGTAGAGTATCTACCTCATTGAGGCAATGATGAATGCAGCAGAAAGAATTTGCGATTTCCCAGGAAAAAGGCATTTGCATTGCATGGGCGGACTCAAAAACTAAACTGAATTCCTACTACTCCTATTCATCAAATTAATAGGGTTTCCAAGGTAGATTCTATCCTTTACCATCACAGGAGAATAATCATTCCCTCATTGTTTCTTTCCTTCATACTAATAACGGTCTACCATTACATTCAATATACAGTAACTCAACCATCACTTGCCTTTTTTACTATCAATCACATTCATTCATTTTAAACAGCCTACCTGACACCTGACCTACTTAGTTAATTCTTTTTATCAGGCACAACATACTTGATCTAGAAAACCTTACAGTCTTGGAAGTTTGAAGAGACTGCTTCAGACTGATACGAGCTCCTCAAGTATAATTTGATCTATACAACCTCACTATTGCCGTTTCAGATGAGTGAATGACTTTCAAGAGCTGCAGAACAGCATACACATTCCTTTAAGTACTGGGCTTTCTGACATGACTTTGTATCAATTTGAACATGACAATTGAAAAAGAATACCCTTTTGCCTATTTAAATCAGAGGTATCAACATCTTGTTACTGGACAGAGAATTGTTATAAATGTATATGTAACCATTTTTCATTAAAAAATGGGATGGATACTTTAATGACAAATGTCCTATTTTATATTTTACCTGAAAAATTAGTTTTAAGGGGTTAATGCTACAATGCTGAATCCTTTATTTATCACTAGCATTATACAAAACACAGCAAGAAAAATTACATAAGTTTTATATTCTACCTCTAACCCTCACATCTAAAAGCAGTACAGTATAAAAAAAAAGCTCTGCTCTGAAGCAGACAATTGGACAATTGGAACGTTCGAATTTTCGGTGCATGCACAAATCTCGAGATTAAAATAGCATACACATAATTAGCGTTTTTCCACAGAAAAAATTATATTCTGTTACTTAAATATTTGATCTTAGGGCACCAGGATGAATAGTTTTTCCCTTTTTTTTTTTTCTCCAATCAAAACCAATTTTCTTCATTCAGCAAAACCACTTTATTGAGCAATTTCAGGGCCATTCCTCTACAGATATTCACAATTTTCTTCAACTCTTAATTTCATAGCCCTACAAAGAAAACTCAGCATGAGCAGAATTTAAACTTCACACTCAGCTCCAACAGACAAAATATTTTAACTGAAAAAGGAATATTTAATATGACAATAAAACATACAATGCAAATAGCAGACAGAAGGCTTAAAATATAAAAAAGAAAATAAAAGAATTAAGAGAATGCAAGAACAGCTATACTAATTTTGTGTGCTACATAGATACAGAACCTTGCTGAAATTACTGAATATTGACTCAGTGTTCAAATTGTATGAGATAGATAGTATAATAATGGCATTGAAATTTCAGAGGTAGTCTAGTTAGATGAATGAGATTAGAAGGGAACAGGATGTTGGTCCCTTCCTCTCAGTCCTACTAACAGACAGAATTGACAGCCCAGTATGTAAAGGTTTTGTGAGAAGATTGTCTGTAGAATTGTTACGGAAAGGGAATTATTCCACTGTGAATGACAGATGCAAAAGAACCACTTAGATCACAAAATCGTTTTGGACAAAGAAAAGTTTGAAAAACAGAGCTTCATGTTGTTTAAAAATATGTTACAATTAAAAAATTAAATACTACTATTTTTAAGAAATTACCTACTACTTTTGGATTTCAAATATTTTAAATTATGATAAAATAGTTTTTGTTCAATACTTTTGTTGGCTGGTTTAAATGTAATTTTATGGAGGTTGAGATATTTAAAGACTCAGAGATTATCATACTATTTATGTGCCTGAATGTTCTGGAGTTTTTAAGACTTCTATCTTGATTGCTGCAACTTGTAATATTAAAACATGTGCAATGCTAATCAAGAAGCCAGAGCATTTGAATACTATCATAACACTATTACCACTGGCATCACAGGTAATTTTTTAGTGTGGGTGTATCAATTCCTGCGAATATTTATTCTGTTACTGTAGAAAACTACTAATAAGTTTCCAATTCCCCCCCCTCCCCCCCCCCCCCCCCAACCCCTGCATGCTTCCACAATTCCTGTAGAGATATGTCTCCTTAAAAATCTTAGAATAGAATCATAGAATGATTTAGGTTGGAAAAGATGTTTAAGATGAAGTCCAACCATAAACCTAACACTGCCAACTCTACCACTAAACAATTCATATAAGATCAATCCTCTGCAGAAGTAAAACCAAATTATTTCTGAAGGAAAGTGCTTACAAGGACTTAATGAGGTTTAAATTCACATCTTTTGCTAATTAAGCTTAATTTTCTTGATACTCTCTGTGTATATGTGTCGTCAGGGAATAAACTGCTCTCTGATTTAAACTCCCCAAAGCAAATGTACAATCACAGGAAACAAAAAAATAGCAACCTGAAAAAATTGTAAATCGTATTCTTTTTATTATTATGTCAATAGAATCTGTAAACTATTTTTTAAGAAGTCATATACATTAATTTTTACTGAAGAATCAAAGTAACTGAACTATATTATTGAGATATACTGTGAGATATACTGTGTTCCTGAAACAGTAACCATACCTGGTTTAAAAAATTGGAAAATGATTGAATAGTTACAGAGGAAACTATTTTCCCAAAGACTGATTTAATGTTCTGCACATTCTCAACTTTTAATTTCGCTTCTTAAAGTTAAATATTGCAGAGCACTGAGCTTCCATTGCTGAAATAAGAAATACACATTCAAAATCCGCACTATGAGCACAGAGATTTAATTTGCATCACTTGCAAAAAACGAAACAGAAAAAGTTTGTTTGGAAGAGTGTAGGTATTTTTAAAAAACAGGCCTGAGAAGAAAAAGGAGTTAAAAATATAGGTTAATTAAGGAAACAATTTTATTTAATAGATTCCTTTGTTTTGTAATGTACCACAGCAAAACACAATAGGAAAGTGAATGACATTTGTATTCAAGCTGCCACTCCTTCCAAGATGACTGATAATAATAATTTGGGTTTTGATTTATTGCATGCATACTTTTACAAGTTAT